AAGTATCTCGGGGTCTTGTTCTCGAGGGAGGGAACAATGGAGCGTGAGATGGGTCGGAGAATCGGAGCAGCGGGAGCGGTACTGCAGTCGCTTTACCGCACCGTTGCGACGAAAAGGGAGCTGAGCCAGAAGGCAAAGCTCTCTGTCTACCGGGCCATTTTCGTTCCTACCCTCACCTATGGTCATGAAGGATGGGTCATGACCGAAAGAACGAGATCGCGGATACAAGCGGCCGAGATGGGTTTTCTCCGCAGGGTGGCTGGTGTCTCCCTTAGGGATGAGGTGAGAAGTTCAGTCATCCGGGAGGGACTCGGAGTTGAACCGCTCCTCCTTCGCGTCGAAAGGAGCCAGTTGAGGTGGTTCGGGCACCTAGTTAGGATGCCACCTGGGCGCCTCCCTAGGGAGGTGTTCCAGGCACGTCCAGCTGGGAAGAGACCGAGGGGTAGACCTAGGACCAGGTGGATGGATTATATCTCTTCGCTGGCCTGGGAGCGCCTTGGGATCCCCCAGTCAGAGCTGGTTGATGAGGGGAAAGGAAAGTTTGGGGTTCTCTGCTGGAACTGCTACCTCCGAGACCCGACCACGGATAAGCGGGAGAAGATGGATGGATGGACCCTTTTAAAGATCTATATGGCACCTTAAGTTATTATATGTAGCAGAACAATATAAATAAAAACCCATTAGGAAAGACTAAAAGGTGTCAATTTGTATCTGTATGTTAAAGTAAACTGTAACTTGTAGCCTATACTTTTTTTTTATATTTTTACTTTTAAATTTGGGTTTTTAAAGGCCATTTTATAATATGTTTCTTAATGCTCTTAGTGTCTTTCATTTTTGTAAAGCACTTTGAATTGCCTTGTGTTGAAAGGTGCTATATCAATAAACTTGCCTTGCCTTACTCCATTCCTGATATTAAGGTTAATGAGTTTGTTCTTTGTCCTCCAGGTGTGGTTCCAGAACCGCAGAGCTAAATGGCGTCGTCAGGAGAAAATGGACGCCAGCACCATGAAGCTGCACGACTCGCCCATGCTCTCCTTCAACCGCCAGCCCCAGCTCCACAGCGGCATGGGCCCCATGAGCAGCTCCCTGCCCCTGGACCCCTGGCTCTCCTCCCCCCTGACCAGCGCCACGCCCGTGCACAGCATCCCGGGCTTCATGGGTCCAGCTCAGGGTCTTCAGCCTAGCTACCCGACCCACAGCTTCCTCAACTCCGCTCCTCACCCTCACTCCCATTCTCACCCGTCCATGGGTCAGGGGATGCAGAACATGGCGCCTCCCCCTTACCAGTGCACAGCGCAGTACCAGGATAAATACCCTCTGGAGGACGTGGACCAGCGCAGCTCCAGCATCGCGGTTCTGAGGATGAAAGCCAAGGAGCATCTGCAGTCCATGGACAAGACCTGGCACCCCATGTGACTAACAAGTTAGGAAGGGAGACATTAAGGTTGTTTTTTTCGGGTTAAAGGGTGAAGGACATTGAGTCAAATGCTGGATAATATGGCAGTGACTTATCTGATACCCACGGAGCAAAAAATAAAGGACTTTGAACTGTGAAACCTGAGGATTAAAGGACTTTCTTTGGACTATTTGTCCTCATCTCAAGGAGACAAGTGAACTCTTATGCTTGTCACAATGTTATTTTTCACATTCTTCTTCCAATATGAACGTTTTGGGTGTTGTGAAATAAACGCAATAACTTTATTTGGTGACTTGTAGACCCTGGGAGTGATGACATTTCCTTTCCTATCAGCACACCTTCCATCGGATGAATGCATACTTTCATCGACAATCACAAACAGATATTGTCATAATATGAAATCTCCATAGACAGGGAATCATGAGAATCACCCAAATATGGGAATTATACTTGCTCTCACCTCTTTTCCGTTAGTTCTGTCGGTAATCCCACATTCTCTTTTATTTCCCCATTTTCTTTTTACTAATTAATCCAATTGTTTAATTTTCATGGGTCAGCTGATCAGAGAATACTTTGTGAATGAAAGTGTGGTCTCACTTTAATGCGAGAGCAGCTTTTAAAAAATCAAATCAGCGTCTCTGACTGTTAAACTAATCTGTTGATTAAATTCCTAATTAAAGCACGGCTGCAGATTAATGATGTAGTTTAGACAACCCGGAGGAAGATGGCAGACGAGGAAAATCTTTCTGCACAATATTCGTGGGAACCAGAATCAGAGATGTGAGGCACCTTTTGACCATGCCTGAAAATATACCAAAAAAATAATCCTGCACAATCTTAGTTTTTCTGATTAGATGCTTCAAAGCAGGAAATGCACGCATGCTGCAGAGCGGGGTTCAACACAGTTTTTGCTTGAGTGGCTTCTTGAGGAGAAGACCTGTTGGCAGCTCAGTGTTGGTGCAGTGTGTACGTGCAGGGCTGCAGAAAGAGCGCTGTGTGATGCGTCACCCCATAGAGTTCAGTCTTTGTCCGGCACAATTGATCCAAGTGTGTCCTCTTTGTCTGAGATGGACGGGGCCGAGGGGACGGTCTACACTAAATAGGCCCTTGGAACCATTTTGTCTTTCTTTCTCAATCAAAGGAGGAACATGGGTCGTAGCTGCTATGGTCATTAGTGACACAGTGTTGTTATTATTTTCCTTCCACCCCCTCCCCCTGTCTGTTAATTGAATGTGTTTCATATGAGCTGTAGAGCTACATCTATTTGTAATAAGACTTTTTAACGTCTGCAGGTAGCATCTCACGTTACAGGAACAAGAGGGAGAGGAAATCCTTCATCTTAAAGTGCAATTTCAGACATATTTTTATATCATTTTAATACAAATTTCCCCCCTAACTTTGTGATATTTCATCTTTATATGAAGTCATGCACACACACTGACTACAGCAGCAATTACAACAATATCAAGTCTATTTTAAAACCTGCTCATAGAGGGAAACAAACGTATTCATCTGCTGCTCGTCTTAATTCTCTTGTAGTTTTTAAATGTTGTTGGTCAGTGATGTTTAGCCTCCCCATTGGACACATGCCAGGACCTCACACTGTAGAGGATTACCTTGCACATTGAAATCTCCTTTAGCATGTTATAATGTGATTTTTGGACCAAGAACAAGCCAAAGGTTATTGAAACTGGACAAAAAATGCACTAGAAATTTTAGTTTTTTACGGCTGTTTCCTAGATTATATCTGTCCTAGTGATGTTATGATTTTGTCTGATGTGCTGAGAAAGAATGAAGATCTACTGAAAAAAATAAATATAGTTTGATAGAAATCTCCTCTTTCTCAATGCTTTCATGTTGACCTGTGCACTCGTTCCCACACCGGCTCTGTATTTCCAAGATTACTAATCGTTATCATCTGACATACAGAGGCATTTTTCTTTCTTTTCCTCCAACACTTGTGCCCTGTCTCCCTCTCTCTCTGTCATATAAGAGCTCTTTCTCCCCTGGTTTTTTTCTGCTGTTCCCTGGTTTTGGTGGCAGGGTGCCAGGCTGTTAGGAAGATGAGACTCCAATCAATCAGGGCTTCCCGGGGGGGCCTCGGACCGAAGAGCCCCGCTCACTAATTGCCCTTCGGGGCCGGTCGCTACAGCACATGTTACAGAGGGACCGGTGCCGCCGTGATATCTGTCCTCCGGCGTGAGAATCACTTTCCTGGACAGATGGAGGGCAGCACACGGCCATATGGAGAGCATGAGACAAGTTGTTTATTTCACTTCAATATTAACAATATGATGTTAAATAACACTTCTAATTGTAAAAAGGAGAGCCCCCAGTTTGGCGATAGCTTGTTAGATGGGTTGCTAACGTAAGCTAGCTTAGATGGATGGATGGATGGATGGATGGATGGATAGATAGATAGATAGATAGATAGAAACTATCTACTTTTCTACATGTTAATACTGTAG